CCCCCCTCCTTTATACTAGACTGCATCCGCGGCGAACAAAACTGTAGATGTTTGAAAAAGCTTTTTCATCCATAGTTCCTCGTTTTTCATCCACAGTTTCTCGTTGAGAATTCAGAGAAAACTAACACTAACAGTTACTAGTAATTAGCCTATGTAAAATCTAGTTCCAATTTCAGCCATTCGACGCGTTAAAATCGAAGATCCGTATTCGTGATGAAGATCCTAGGGAAGCGCTTGAGTCTTCCAAAGCGAAACTCGAACAGTTGATCGCCGATCGCACCCGTGCTCTTCAGGTCTGCATTTCTTTGCTGGTTTTGGTTGCCTTGCTACTTACGTCTTTCCACTGTTTTCAGCGATATTTTTATTTCTTAAGTAGATTTCACAACTCATTCCAACCATGACAACAATTTTTGAGAACTTTTTGTTAAAGGCAGCTGGCACGATAAATACCTAAGACGAGTAGGATTAATGCGCCTGGCAGGACCCTCAGCAGGCGCAGCGTAGAGCCTTGTCCCAAAAAGATAACTTTGAAAGGCTCTCTCAAGCTACTACATACCGACCCGAACGCCCACCGCGCCATCTACAAATGGACGACTGTACCTGCCGGCTGAATTGCCTCATTTGCTTAAGGTAAAAAATATGGAAAGCGAAGGGATTGAAGTATGAAGTATGAAGCTAAGCTGCGGTTGCTGCACGGATATCGTCGAACTCGCCTTTTGAGTCGCCGGCCAGACAAAGGCATTTTGCGCATTTATTTAATTTATTACATGCCCAACGACATGTTACTCTTAGTTAATATAAAGCGTACAACAAAACTCAAGAATAAACAACTGAAATTTGGTTTCTGACCGTTTCACTCCATTTTTTTCCATTTGCCGTTATGTAGCACCTTGCTAGCATTTTAGGCCGGTACCAAATTATCGTGCCAGCTGCCTTCAAAAATGAGGGCCATATATATTCCTTGTTGGATTACCATTAGTTCAATTTTTGTTTTTCCGAATTTGATTGGGTTTTGGAAACGCGACTGTGAGATTGATTGTCACCCCTTAATTTCCCTTGTGACGAAATCGCGTTCCGATTACTCTTTTTTTGCATGTGTGGTTTGTTGCGAACGAGCAAAGCGCTAATTAAATGCTTTCAGCACATAGATGAATAAACAAGTAGATTAAGCTGAGATTATTCCGCTAGGTATTACAGCAGTTGCATGAGCGAATCCTATTACAATTTTTCCGTGGCTCGACACACAGGAAAAAAATTAGGGTATGAATTTTCCAGATGCTACACCGTTAATCGTGAAGTTCAAGTCGCAGGTAGGCCGGGCTCTGATTGGACTCCTGCCATTTTTTGCCCGGTCTTCATGGCACACGATCTCACCGAACGACTGACTGGTCCCCAAATTCTTATGCTGCGATTTATGCTTGCCATTAGTTGTTGACTTACGTTAGTAATCTTTTCATGGATCAATTTTATCCTGCTCTCAGAAATTCCCCAGAGCAGTAGATTCGCACGAATTGCTAGATTTCCGGGAAAAAACTCCCGAACGATGAGCATTTCTCTCCTCTACGCCTACTTTTCAAGCCAGGCCACATCCCTGCGTCTGCAATCCCTCGGGATAGGTTATCCGTCGCTTCACTATGCGAGGGATTCGAATCGATCTCTAATTAGGAAGAGCGGCCCACCGCGCAAAACTTGTGTAGGCGCATCTAGGATGAGCACGAAGAGGAGGCACGACGGGGGACGAGGGAACCAAGGAATACTGAGGGATTGTTGTTCGACAAGCGCCTGAACAATGCGGTGACGGCCACTGACATCATCAACATTCATGTAATCCCTGTCCAAATTGACGACGAATTAATTTCTCGTCGCCGCTGGCCCTCATTTCAACGCTACTGGACAGCTGATTGAAATAGGTAGGGGAAAAGCTGCAGATGGATGTACAAGGAATATGGGGTGTAACAGAACAGTCTAGGAAATTGCAGTGGCCAATTTTATTGTCCAGTCTAACCAGCCATCCCTGCTTCCGGACTTGCCTCGTCGGTATCAAGCTCATCTCTTAGATTATCCAAGAGACTCATTTAGATGATTATTTCTTAGATTAGATTGTGAATAGTTGGTGAGAAGTCCGGGGAAATCTTCTTTTGCTCAGACGCCCCCACGATCACTGATGAAATCTCGCAAACGTTCTCAAAGTTTAAAAGCCATCCCTTGGAAAAAGCAGGGTGGCAAAAAGAAGTCGCTAAGGAAGTCCTCGTGGCTTCGACATGCGAGTGGGTCTTAAGCTTCCGCACGAGGTCCAAGTACAGCAAGCCGTCAGAGAAAGCTGCGTCTGACCCCTAGGGATATGGAGGAAGGCCGCTCTGCCATATGTTCCCTCAGAAAGAGTGGGCACTTCGATCAGACAACCCACGGCAGTCAAGGTTGTCAAGGCTAAGGTGCTGCGGAGCAATTTTATCAGTATCTCTCACTTCAGCAGTCCAGTTCCTAAGGCTCACGACTAAAAAGGCTTAGTGCAAGCAGCATCTGTGCCCTACCTTTCTCATGGGTATATCTTCTATTTTTTACGGCTCCCTGAGAACCGCTTCCGATTTTGCAGTTGCAGTAGCGAAAGAGAGAAAAGAAGCCGATCTGATAGTACAGTTTTACGAATCATAAGTTCGCGATTTTTTTACGTTTTTTTGGTTTTCACGCAAACCATTGCTGTTCTGTAGTACATGGTTTTCTACCTATGTCTGTTTCTCTTTCTGTTCGGAAGAAAATTGACTTTTAACAGATGAAGTGTACAAAAACAGTGCTCTTACAGGAATAAGTAGGTTGATTGCAGTGGAATCAGCGTCTGCAACTTTTCATAGCTCGTAACTCGTAAAAGATCACAGGGAATGCATAGCGCAGTGGGGCCATTTAACGCCAACGAAAAAAGACCCGGACAATCCTGAGCTCTCCCTCGACAAACCGCGAATGCCCATTGATGATTTTCGCCCATATCATCGTGCACGCTGGAAACTGTATTACGATGGCTGACAGCATACACAACGTTTCACTTTATAGTTTTAAATTTTTTACTATTTTTACTAACTATTGTTTCTTATATTTGTATAATTAGTATGTATCGTCTCTTCCACATTGCTTTTTCGCTACCGTATTTCGCTATAAAAACGCCTGAAAGGTGATGCCCATGTCTTGCCGCATCCACCGTAATCTGACTTGTTGACTTTCCAATCATTCAGCTCAGCCTGAGTTCCGATGCTTATGGTGGATTCGGGTGAACTATATAGTGAAGTGCTGCGTTAAGCAAAGTATTAGGTTGTTCGGAAAGAAATGCGCGTTGAATTTGTCCATTTATTTCTCTCCTACTATAGAAGATTTTTCAAAACAGTTTTGTCTATTAGAAAGAGATTTTTATTGTGCATCTTTTGATATATTTTTGTCTATGTCTACTTTGCTTTTTTGAAGAAAAAAAGTTGGGAAGAGTGGGTGCCGCACCACTGAGTGGCAATGGCCGGAATTCTTCTTCGTCGCTCCAAGAACAGCGGTTTCTTCGACTCTATTGTTACATCAGATGAGACATGGATCTGCTACGACAACGCAACGCGAAAAAGACAGTGGTTAGACGCCGGTGACACTCCAAAACCGACTCCGAAACCGGATATACACGGCAAAAAGGTGATGCCTGTGTTTGGTGGAACAGCAAAGGGTTTGGTAGACTATGAATGTTCGGATTCGGGTCAAACAGTTACGGCGGACATCTACAAAGATCAAGTTGAACCGCGTGGATCAAGTGCCTGCGTCAAGGTGTCGAAACGACGTCGACAAAATTCCTCCACGACAACGCTCGTCATGTCGCGAAAATCACTTTGGAAAAAATTGAGGAATTGGGCTGGGAAGTCTGCCTCATCCGCCATACAGCCCAGACCTGGCACCATCCGATTACCATCTGTTCCGGTCGATGCAGCACTCCCTGGCCGAGAGAAAGTTCACAAACCGCGAAGAAGTCCAACTCTGGGTGTCCAACTACTTTGAGTCGCAGCCGGCCGAGTTCTTCGAAAGAGGAATCCATTCTTTGCATAAACGTTGGCAACAAGTCATTGATAGTAATGGAGATTATCTTTTGAATTGATCTTGTTTACTTTCGTTTTATAATAAAAAATTTATAGACTCAAACGCGCATTTCTTTCCGAACAACCTAATAAATATCTCCAAATAAACGGGAGTAATCGCGCTATAGCAGCGCTGGCACCAACAGGACAGCACATTTTATAATCGAAATGGCCATTCGGTTGCACCATTGATAAAAGTGTAAGTTGAAAAGGGATGATTCAGTCACAACTATGACATAGGGTAACATAAATAATTTGTAATTCATTCAAAAATTCTCTTCAGAAACTCACACGAACTGCTGAGGGTTCTGCTCGATTCTACCCTGCCTATGATGATTCACAGGTGGGTTCTTAATCGCCTCTGGTTTGAAAACTATTCATAGAAGATTAGAACGAAAAGATACGATGTTCGAACTTTAGTCTGCTTGTGAAGTTTTGTCTTATTGCTATTGTCCCACAGATCTTCCTGAGCACATAAGAATTACTTCGACTTTCTACTTCCTACTTTGACAGTATGAGAAAGTCTGTCTCAATTTCTCTTTCAGTTTTCCACACCTCGAGACGAGTCTGTATGCGCCAAGTTTGAGCAGCTGCTCAACGAATCCGACGTTCGTGAGGCATCAAATTCGGCTGCTCAAACCTCGGGAGTGCATGTCAATATTGAGTCTTATCGATGTGGTACGGCAGAATGTCAATTTTTATGCTTTTGAAATTTTGGTTACGACGTTTTCAGGTCATTCAAATTGAATTTATGACAAAGGCAATCCAAAGGGGGCTTAGGGATAGTGTAGTGAGCCAGAATGCCGGTGCTATATTCCAATATGATTTCGGTGTCAAATGCTGCCCATGTATCACCACCTCTGAAATTGTTATTGGTTATTTTGTTGGAATCTGAATCACACACTGATGCGACCGCTCACTATACGTCGATCTGCCCGTCACATGTATGTGACGCCGAATATCTCCATGATTCTGAAAACTGGCCCAAAGCCCAACCCAGAATGCAGCGTCATGTCATTTACGGGATGGCCGAAGCCAACTGTTCCATTCTTCTTCGTTTGA